CGATCGAAGGGCCCCGTCCCGTATAATATGCCCGCGTCTGTATACCGATCGGAGGCCCGGGCTAATCAGACGGACATAATTGATCTCACTTGTGATCTTGAGATTCGAAAGATCACGGACGGAGAGAGGCTCGAACCAATAATTATTGTTAATATCGGCCGCCCCTTGCCCCACCACTTGCCGCCGCGGTCTTGGCTCTCTCCCTCGTCCTGGCCAGCTATATATCCCTCTAGCCGGCGACCGTACGGGGCCAGCAACTTCAGCCTCCGCTCTACCTTTCCACCCTTCTTCTCACTTGGTCCCTCTCTTCCTATGTGTGTCTTCCTTTCCTCCCTTCACCCCCTATCCCGCTCCGTGTGCGCCCCCTCTCCCCCTCCCTCCTACCACGTTCTCTCTTTCCAACCTCGGGTATCTCCCGCCGGTGCGCCGGCCGTTCTCTCTGTCCAGAGCTTTTATTTATATTAATTTCGCGGGCTTTTTGCTTTTCGGTGGTTTCGGGGCCCCGCTGAAGCGGAGGAAATATAAAATAATAATGATAATAATGAGCCATTTTGCGCGTAATAATACGGTGGGAGCCGGGATACGCCGTGGAAGCCGCGCGATCCGCCGGGCTAATAACGTCGGACGCCAAGGCTCGGCTATATCGCGCGGCGCAGCACGGACCCACGTAGTTCCCTCCGTCCGCTTTCTGCTTTTTCTCTCTCTCTCTCTCTCTCTCTCTCTCTCTCTTTCTCTCCTTCCCTCTCTCCCTCTCCCCTTTCCCCTATCTTTTTCTGTTAAGTAGCATTTCCTTCTTTTATCTCTGTCCGTCTCCGGTCCGCCGGTACCCCGGCGTTTGCAGAATTCTTGTCGATACGCTTCGCGTTTTCTTTTTCTCGTTGGAGTCTCGCCAAAATTGCATTCGCTGACATTTCTCAGTAGTGGTTACGAGACGCGATTGTTGCGACACATCTCATGGAAAATTGAACACTATAGCGTATGTCACGTTCCGGTCTCTGCCAACAGCAAGCCCGCTTTTCGACGTTTCGCGGTCAGTCACTATAAATCGCGCATCCCGATTTCCCAGGTTCATAGTGGTAACGTGACAAGCGTGGCGGAAACGTGATCGTACAAACGATCAGCGGCTGGGGCGTAGATCAATGTGAGGACCGTCGATGTATAAAGCTTGTACGAACACTCCACCTCCCGCCGAGCGGACGACGCGGTCTCTAAAGATTTTATGGCGTGGAATGGGATTTGGGTACACTTAGCGGTCATAAAGCGGTGCGAAGGTGCAAAGAGCCGTCCACGGCCACCCCCTATTCGGCCCGCGCCGGCACCTTTTATCCCAAAGGAAGCCGCGTTAAGGGATATCGAAGTTTTCTTAAAACCGGCGTTTCGCCCTGTTACCGCCGGCGATGAGAAACGCTTCTGTGCGCCGTCATCGACTTGTTCCGTGTTGTTCGCGATTGCCTACCTTGTACCCAAGTGCATAAAGCGCTTGTTCGAAAAAATGTCTCGCTCAAAACGAAACACACGTCGAAAATGTCGCGGCTCTTGCCATCTCCTGAACGCTAATTGATACAATGACAAAAATACACGTCACTGTCGAATAATGTTAGAATGAAATATCTCCTTCGATTTTATTTTCTGCGGTTGCCAATTTGCCAACATTATCAACACGGTAAAGACTGACGTGCCTCCGCGCAATTTTCTGCACTAAATTCCCAGATTTTTCCGATTTCGCCGATTCGGAGTGTGAAATAAACGTCGCCTGTTACGCGTGTCGGAAGAGTCCCAGTTTACACGGCCGAGCCACGACTCCCTTCGGCGCGGATCGCATCGGTAACGCCGTCGTAAACCATCCCGCAAGTTCATTTGGCCTGTCTGGCGAATGCTCGTATTTACCAGATACGGGATCTCATGCACGAAACAATAAACGAATCCTCGGCATTGATCTGGCACGGCCGAGCGAGGCCGACGCGCCGCGAAAAGAAGGATACGAAGGCAACGAGTGGAACAAGAAGAAGAAGAAGAAGAAGAAGCAACAGCAGCAGCAGCAACAGAGAAAGAAGAGGAGAGAAGAAGAAGGAGGAGAAGGAGGTCTGGTCGAAGGTTACGACGTTCTCGGTCTTGTTCGGCTCTTCGACGTAGGGCGCGAGAGAGTGCCTTGTACCTCACACCCAATCAACTTAGATCCGCGGTTCCAGATAAGGTTCTCTACCTATCCCTCCCCCCTGCTGCCATTGAACGGCGCGCACCAAACGTACCTACACATACACACACGCTGTGTCTCAGCATCGCGGCGGCGGCGGTTAACCAGCAATGGTACTCGCGGGGGCGGCCTGCGAATACTAAGTCACCGGGCGCAAAATACACCGAGGGTCTCCCCACCGGCGGCGCCCCATCGTGTCCTTCGTCCTCCTCGCACTCCCCCTTCGCCGCGCGTCCCACGATCGACCCCTTTCTTCTGCACGGCGTGCATGCACCCGGGTAACGAGCTTTCATTAGCGACGCTGTAGGCTAATGAGCCGTGTTAGAGCCGCTCCGCGGACGGCCCCGTGCGCTGGAAGCCGACGTTCCAACTCCGCCGTCGTCGTCGCTGTTCCCGCTGCTGCCGATGGCTAGTTTAAGGCGTGTCTGCACGGCCCGCTTTCGTCGGACATCGTCCCGGATGGGTCCCAGCCGAGGGAGAGAAAAGGAAAGCGCGCGAACCGCGAATGTCGATTATCCTCATTCGGAGAACGAAAGCAATCGCATATTCTCTACTCGCTCATATCGCTCGCGACATCGTCGTTACGCGATGAAGCCATTAGCTCGCGGCGTTATTTCGTTCCCATTCGTTTTCTCCCCTGCAGAAACGTCTCCGTTCCAACGCGACGCAACCGCGATCGTCGAGAGGTCACAAATCGCGCGGCACACGGACGTCGATGATGTTAAATTGAATTGAATTCAGAGGAGGGAACCGCGCGCGACACCCTCTCCCCCTGCGCCCACCGACTGCCCTGTAACGGGCCCACCGGCGTGTATGCGCGCACACGTAACGAACAGCAGCCGATGGAAACAGAGTCCGCGTTTGGCGCACGAGGCCGAGAAAGAGACGCCGTGCGGAGGGGGAGTCGGTGGACGTTTTATGGCGTATATGCGACATGAGCAGGGATATTGAAAAGTTTGATTGCCCGCCGGTTTAATTCGCCGCGTATTCGAACCCCGTGGCAACGAAACGGGACCTCCTGCACCCCCGGGCCCTACCCTGTCTCGGTCCCCGTCGCCGGGCCATTGCCGTTCCTCGCACCTCTCCTCGTGCCCACGACGGACTCTCGTGGAAATTGATTTTGCGGTCGTACCTCGCTCGATCCTGAGAACCGCACGCTGGATCCGAATGATATTCGAGAGCCTCACACCGCGGGAGGACCGGCCGGAGACTCGCGCCGGACTTATTAACCCTTCAATAGGCGCGTGCGTTCTTTACTTTGGACCTCTGGTTTACCAATGCGGAAAGATATATTTTGCCAAGATGTATATTATTTTCGAAAATACGTATGATATAAACAATAGACTATGCATCGCAAAAAACAATGCATCTTTGGTTATAATCAGAATATTGAGTGTTAATCGCTGAAAATTTTCCTTCATTAAAATAATTTTAATAATTATATCTATGTATAATATAATCTACATATAATAATATTATATATAATAATAATATATCTATATAATAATAATCTTAATAATTCTTTTTTTTAAATAATCGGCAAATCAATAGTCTAGATTAAAAAATCGACATGTGCAAGATTACAAGTAATTGCTTTGTTCGATGAAATTAATTATTAATCAAGCTTTGATTATACATTTGTTAATACAGTGAGAGAAAAAATATGTAAAGATTGGAGATATTTATTTGATGTACTTTAACATATATATTTACTTGTACCAATGTACTATATATATATTTTTTTACATTGAGGAAGAATTTATTTTAAATGAGAAAATATAGATTTTCCCGAAACCGTTGCTTTTCACGAAAGCAATTGTTTATTCTGTTCAAACAAAAGGATTTAATGATTTGAGAAGTAAATATGTGTTACTAGTAGTTACCTGAATGAATATTGTTCATTTTTCAGATATTTTTTCTCTCAATGTCACCAAATTATTTGTGATTACACATGTGACGACTGATTAGTTTTGATTATTCATCTGCTGATTATTTTAGTCAAAGAAAATCTCAATCGACGAATGCCCAACACTGCTGGTAACAGTCAGTATTATAGTCTTCAAATTATGTTGAGTGTAGATCAAGTTTCTAACGGAGGTTTGAAGGAGTAATCGCGCAAATACAGCGAGTCGCCGAATATAGGAAACCCCTTCCCGACATTGGTTTGTTTGATCAAAACGAAGAAGAAAGCACTAAAAACTGGAAAATTTACATTTCCTAAACGAATCACGATGGAAATAGCATTCGGGAAACGCGTCGGGATTATTTCACGTGGCCATCGGGCCGATATTTATTACATTGCGATATTCCGCGACGCGGTAACTCAGGTAGGAAATGCTCGCGCATGTACGGTTATTGGATAGAGACGGTGGTCGCGTAACGGCCGTGCTAAGAGCTTTAGCACCCGTCGTATGGGATCGTATTTATTACCCAGTCCGCTCGCTCTCCGTCGAGTCCGACGTCGAATCCCTCGTCTCCTTTTATTTTCCGACCGATCGCTTCTTGCCGCGCGATGGCGCAAGACATTACATCGCCCGTCATCACCGAGATAACGCCGTGGAAAGTATCGAAATGATCGGCGTATAATATTTCCGTGCCCCGCGGGAAATCGTCGTTGTCAAACGACTACGACGACAACGATGACGACGCGAGCGGGCGAGCAACGATTGGCGAACGATTGGCGATCGTTAAAGCCATCTTCATTAGGCCGACGCGCAAGGCGATCGCACGCGCTTAATCTCTCTTTATCCCCGTGTATCTCATATGAAACTCTCCCACTAATCGTGTCGTTTCTTCTGTTTTACAGGTAAGTGACGACACCACGCAAGAGGAGACTGCGACGGCTAGTGCGGGCCAATACCAGACGAGAAATAACAGAAACAAGCGAGCGATTAGCATGGAATCGCGAGATAAGGCGGAGTGCGCGATCCCGTCGTGCGCCGAGCTCCGAGGTAGTTCTCCATGCGGAGGAGCGTTGGTATTTATGTTAATTACTGTCAACGTTAATTAGTGCCAGTTCCGTCGCAGCACCGGTCCCTCCGTCGCGAGCGGTGTGAGCGGTGGAAAGGGAGAGGCAAAGGGTCCTCGACGACTCGCGGGTAGGGACGAAGGGGGAGGAAAGAGGACTCGCGGAAAGATGGGGATCGAGAGTCGATTCCTAGCAACGCTCGTTCCTCGAGGTAGAGCCACCTGCCACCGACCACGTCTGCCACGAACGATCGGCTTTCGTTTCTGCGTTTCATCCAGTATTCAAATCTTCACACGAGCACGGGCGTGTTCGATCCAAACGTACGCGACAATAGATATTTTTTCTCTCAGTGTAGTAAAATTGAAAAAGATATATGAAAAAGAGAATAAGAGATATATAAAAAAGAGAAACTATATAATACATTCTCTCCGTACACTATAAACAAACATTTGCCATAAAGTCTCATAGGAAAGAGGAAAATATCATCACCCAATAGACAGATGTGCTTATGTCACTTTAATATAAAATTATATAATTGTTTTTTGATCAAATTCTGATTAAGATTTTCTTCCGATTTTAATAAATGTATGCCCCAAGAGGTTAAGAAAGATTGAACTCAATCTTCCATGAAAAGCAGGCGCGGTACAACGCGGACAGGATGCGTTGATTGAGAACGAGTGTTAAACGTACGAGGAAATCACGGCGGTGTCACGCGACGATTTTAGCGGCTTTCGCAAAAAAAAGGCGTCGTTAGCGCGGAGTTGTGGGAAATGGGAGGAACGTTAACGAACGGATGCGTACCACCGGAGATTGGTGGTTCGGGTCGTCGTCCAACGCGTGTACGCCATTCATTAATTTTTCGGGCCGATTCCTCTCGCACGAGATATTCCGGGTCGTCGTGCAGTTTTCTTTTAACGTGTCTCGTAATTTTAATTCTCCGAATTGAAAATCGTTTTAGTACATTTTTCAAGTCCCGCGCGTGTTGTGAGCTTCCAATTCACTTTTACCAACTGTTCCGCAATAGAACGAGTTACATCTCCATCGTTATTTCTTCATTTTCCTCGTGGTGGTTATAGAAGTAAAAGATACGATTGGAGATTTGGAGTCTTAATGACGCTGACGTAAATAGTCGGCGAGAAAAGCACAAAAGCATAAATTTAGCATTGAAAAGAGATGGATAAAATGGATGTTAAACGACCACCAGGATCGACTCACGTAACGACGCAGAAATCAATGGCGATCACCGAAATCGATGGGAACAACCACGACCATTACGTCGTAACGGCAAAGAAATCACCGCGATAATTATCATTTAATTACCCACATCCCGTTCCTGGCGCATATTCCTCTCTCTTTCTCTCTCTCTTTCGAAAAGAGACAGAAGAAAAAGTGGTAGCTCCGTGGGTCTACTACGAAAGTAGTCCGACAGGTTCAACGAGGAAATTAAACGTTTGGAATATTTTTGTATCTATTTATCCCCCTCTCACTCATTCTCTCCACATTTATTATATTGGGCACAATTTCCACGCGGCGGACGTCGTTGATCTATCAGCGAGAAGCATCTTCGTTTGAAATTAATTTTAGATAAACGTCCAATAAAGTATGTGCGATTTCGCGTGGCGTAGGTTACGCTCTTCCCGATTATCGAGCAATAATCGACGGATATTTCTTTCAATTCTTAATATCCCGTTTTGTGATTTGTTGCACAGAATACACCGTCGGTTATCATTATTATTTACATATTCAGGATTCCATGATCCACCGCATCTGCGTACGTTTCACGTTTCCTCATATGACATACGCATAATACGTATTAAAATACTCGGCGACAAGCAAAAAATAATCCCGCTATCCTTCCTGCTCGCTCGGTTCCTCGCATTCTCAGCTTTCGAGAGAGACACAGAGAGATAGAGAGAAAGAGAGACACAGAGAGAAAGATAGATAGATAGATGAAGAGAGAAAGAGAGAGACAAAGAGAAAGAGCGCGCGATGCTTGTGGGACACCCCGTATGCGCACGTAGTTACTCGTTACCACGTGGTACGTGACACGTCTGTGAGATAGAGCCGTATTCGAAGGAATCCCGTTCGTCCGCGGGCTAACACGAGAGAGACAGCCGTCCCCTGTCGCGCCCTTCGTCCCCCTTGGTGAGGCGCGCGGGTGTGCGCGCGTACATCGTCGCCGTCGCTGCGACGATGCAGGAGCATCCTCTTGGAGGCGGCGGGTGCGATGACTTTCCTGCCTCGGGGGCTACTTACCGAGCGAATGGCGAGTGGCGAGCGGAGAAATCGCTGCTGGTACCGGACGTTACGCCCGCGGGCAAGCGCGGAGATCTACACGCACGTAGTACGTACCTACGTACGCGATATAGGTACAGTGGAAGTCCACGAGACAGCTAGATAGGGAGGGAGTTAGGGAACCATGGCGGACAGTTTATGATGCGGCACGACTTGAACACTCAAACGCGCCGCGCGTCTTCTCCTCGTTCTTCTCCCCCTCCCCTGCTCGTCCGCGCGATGCCCGGTGACTATCTGCGTCCGTACGTTTGCTTGCGTTACCGTACAGGACCATGGGGACGGGTGAAAGGAACGAACAAGTCTAGGAAATCTGCCGGCGAAAAGAGCCCGCCGCGGACAGTTCGATGGAACTCACGACGCGGCCGCGGATATATCTCCCGATTCGCCGCCACCGCGGAAATCTCTTCTCTTCGGCGGCGGCGGACCGAGAGAGAGAGAGAGAGAGAGAGAGAGAGAGAGAGAGAGAGAGAGAGAGAGAGTCGGAGAAGTAGTCGCGATCCCCACGCTTAAATTCGTCGTATTGTTCGGGGCCTCAGCCTAGACGCACTGAGATACGCGCGACTGCCTCTGTGGGAAAGTGCCTGCGTGGCTTCAGCGCCGGAGATTTAAACGCTCCGAGACCGATTGTGGACTAGTCGCGAGACGAGCGGGGAGCGTCGTCCTTTCATTTCCGCGAGGTAAGGTGGCTACGAGGAGGAAGAACGTGTCGCGTGGCAAAAAGGAAGCGCGAGAGGAATATCGCGGCAGCGACGGCTAATAATGAAAAAAGGATGGCGAAGAATTTGTCGAAACGATATGCGTGACGGACAAGAGGAGAACGCGGCCTGGACATCAAAATACTGATAGACTGTGGTAATCGCGCGCCATAAATTTTGTCAATTAGCTCGGCAGGACGTTAAACGGGGACACTAATTAATCGAAACACTCATTAAGGCCGCGGACCACGGATACAGGTGTTCCGACACCGTCCGGCGATTCGTTACGCGGAAGCAGCGGAGCTCGGCTTAGCGCGCATATTTGTAAATCCGAGGAATTAACTGACAGAACTTATTACCGCCTTATCCCGTGCGCGTCCTTTATCGCCCGGTTACCCGCCTATCTCATTAAAGCGGCGATGTGAGCGTGTACCGTGCGTGTTCCGAACGGCATGCCGGACAGAAATCATCGATTTGGTATCTCCGTGGAAGTTAATGTTACGGTAGCGGTGTACCGTTAGCCGCGCTGGGGGATAACGCGTCTAACGCGTCCGAGGAAAAGAATCGATCGCGGTTTTAATAGCGGACGCTAAGTCGTACGAATACAACGGCAGATCGTTATAACAGTAAGTAGCGTGACTGTTGCGCGCGAAGCGGCATGGCCGGTTTTCCGCGTCAACCCTTTCCAATGCAGCAGCCGCCACCGACGACGACGACGGCAGCGTCTATCGAAGGCAAGAGCGAGGACGAGAGGGCGAGATAAATTACGCGGAGATTGCTAACTAAATTAGCACCGCCCCGAGAGATATTTATATGGAATCGGATATATGGCGTTCGGCCGAGCGAGCCACTGTGCGAGGAGCCGCAATCTATTTCGCGACCGATTTATGACGTCTCACTTATATGGCGCGCCGTCGAAATGCCCGAACGGTAATTACCAGATCGCGGTTTTAAGCCGCGTTTCGGGGAACGCGTGTTATCCGCACAGATCGATCTATTAACCCTTCGCGTATATGCAATAATATTTTTGGGGCGCACAATGCAATTTGGGTCTGTCGAGCAACTTTCAACTATCATAACTTCGTTGTAAGTCAATATTTTTCAAGGATATATACTGAGAGAAAAACGGTTGATCTGAACAAAATTATGATTACTTTTGGCCCCAACCAAATGTTTTACAGTAAAAGTAAGTAGTAGTAACAATCATATGAGATTATCATCACTAACTTTATAGTAGAATTTGATAAAATAATAGTTTTCATGACCATAATTTATAGTAGTTATTTTTCTGCGTGATTAGAGTTACAGATATCTAACTTTTTTTCTCAGTATAAGAAAGCCTCTTTAGTTATAAGATGGTACCGCAATAAAATCAAAATCTGTAAAAAATTGCTTTGCAATTTTAAAATAAATGCAAAGATTGTTCAAGTTGGTGAAACCAAAAATCGTTTGGCTCTCACAGACTTAACATTTTACATGAGTGATTAATTCATACATATAGTACAATCTGGATCTATCAAACCCAAGTACAATTTTGAACTATTATAATAACTTCTAAAAATCGATATTCTTCGACACATTTGTTTCTAGAGATACAGAAAAGTCTCAGCCATAGGATAGTAGCACGATAAGATTAAAGTCTGCAAACAGATTCGCGCCATTTTGAAATCTTTTCCGGACCCTTTATGAAAGTTGGTGAGAAATCGAATATTTGTTCAGGTTTCATAGACTTAACATTGTTCGCGAAGATTCAACACTACGACGTTCCCTCTGGGGTTTTCCAAGGTGCACAATAAAATTACTATTTCGTCCGCACAGTTTCTTTGTCTTTCGTTTTTTTTTCTTCTTTCCGCCGCGTCTCACTCGGATATTTCGCGCGTTTCCTCCGTGAGCGTCCCGCTCGAAAAAGAAGAAAAA